CTCCCGGCGTCCGTGGATCTGCTGCCAGTGGGTGCCAAACCCGTCGGGGGGGGGGGGGCTCCGCTCGAGGCCCCGCTGCCGGGCTGGGTGAGGGGCTTTGGACCGGGATGCCCCTGGGGCTCCCGATATTTGCATGACATGGCTGGCTGCAAATTTCAGGACGTTCTTTCTACCGTACCGAAACACGGGAAGCGGCTGGAGATACGGTAAAGGGCGTCGCGCTGCGGTACGAGCACGGCCACCCCAAAAGCTCCTCGCAGGCCGCTGCTGGCCGGGGTTCGCCTTTGGACCGGGATGCCCCTGGGGCTCCCGATATTTGCATGACATGGCTGGCTGCAAATTTCAGGACGTTCTTTCTACCGTACCGAAACACGGGAAGCGGCTGGAGATACGGTAAAGGGCGTCGCGCTGCGGTACGAGCACGGCCACCCCAAAAGCTCCTCGCAGGCCGCTGCTGGCCGGGGTTCGCACCGCGAACTGCATTTCTCTATCCCAAACCGAACCGCTGCAGCACCCGCCACCAAAAACCATGGGTAACCGGCAGCCGCACCCCCTGTTTGGGAACCACATGGGCCTTTTTATTTTTCCTGTGCCGCAAGCCAGAAATTGGGTTTCTCACGAGTTTTTTCCAGCCGCGCACCTCCTTGGGTGACGAGACCCGTTGCAGTTTCGCTGCACGGACGTTGGCCGTGGCGGAAAAGGTGCTGGATCTCGTTACGTAGCGCCGACTCATTCTGGTTTTATTGCTCGGCTTTAGCCGGCTTGTCCCAAGGCGGTGACCGGTAGCCGGACGCCTCTGTGGAATACCTCTAGCGGTGGAGAAAAAGGCTCGCTCGTGCGTTTTTCTTGTTTATATAGCCAGCCAGCTGTGTTAATATGAAATTTCCGCCGCTCGGATCCTGCTCCGGATGAAGACGTGATGTTCACCTGGCAAAGCAAACCCGGGGCTCGTCCCCCAGCCCCTTCTCTGCCGCTCCAGAAAACAGGCGTCATTCAGGGCGCTAAAAAAAGCCGCTCTCTTCCCGCACAGCCTTATCCCGGAGGGAGCCCGGGAGGGGCGGATTCCTCAGCCGAACTCACCTTTCCCGAGGCTCCGGGCCCGCTGGCTCAGAGCTAGAGGCTTTCCCCCAAGGCGTCGCGCCCTTCGGGTGTTGGGGACCTTTTCTTTAAAGGCGTTTAACCTCGAACTTCAGCCCCCGAAGGCGCCCGGCGTGAAGGGCCCGAAAGCAAATTTCCCCTCTGTAGTTAGAGAGGAATCCCGCACGCTGCCGATCGTCGCGGCTCTGTGGAAGGCGGCA